CTTATATTTTCAAGAACATTACTATAGTAGCCACCACTTCCACAAAAAGAAAGCCTGTCAGCTCTCTGCAAACATTCTCACAGCACAAAGCACGTCAGTTACAGATTAAACGCTAGTAACAGCCTGGATACGACAGTAAACTAAGATATTTCTATAACAAGGCGTGTTTGCAATCTACCAATTTCTAACTTATTTAGAAGGCTATAAAATACTTGGCAGAGGGTATAAATAGTCTCTCTTACCTAAAACTTGTCAGAAGAAAGATCCTTCTCCATTGTTGTCACCTCCAGTGCCCCCTCTTGCCACCATGGAGATTGGTTCTGCTATGTTTATTGCTCTGTGCCTCAGTTAGAGCCGTGACACTAATCTGCCTGCACAGACCAGCACAGGGCTGGGTGTGGGTGTGCGGGTGTGTGTGCGTGTGAGAAAAGAGAGCCTGCTGACTTCAGGACTGGGAACCTAAACCTCAGGCCAAGTCAAGGCTGAATGAAAATGATCAAAGCTCTGTCCCTCATCAACAGAGTAGACAAGATTTCTCTCCCCCCTCCCAATGAGAAGCAGGGCTGTCATTAGGGATTCCCACTAAAAAGCCTCTAACGGAGGCAGACCTTCTCCAGACTGCTAGTGCCTGCCCAGCAGCCCGTGCAGAATACAGGTAGCTATTGTTCCTGAGACAGATATGTAGCCAGCCACTCAGACTCTGACAGATCTCAACAAACCAGTGAGCCTGCCTTCGGTTTAACTCTTTATTTACTAGCCGTTCACTTTTTACAAAGATCTCCTTTTGCCCTGGAGAGGGAGGGACAGAGGAGGTAAAAAAAGAAAAATCAGTAAATTGTTCTGGCTTTGTTAAGCAAAATGTTTCATGTGTATAGCCAGGAATCCTATAAAAATTTAGGAGTATTGACTTTCATTTTGAAATCTCGTCTAGTCTGGTGCTGGACAACGCAGCAATAGCACCCTTCAGCAGTAATACAAGATTCCAGTCCAGGGAAGTAAGTCCTGCTCTGCCTTCCTCTGAATTTTCATCATTCATGGGGAAATAAAACATTTGGAATAGATAACACACATTCTTGCTCAAATAATCTAGGTATTAAGAAGCAGAGAAATTTGGTGCAAAATCTTCAGCAGTTTTTCCAACAGATGTACGTTTTAAGCATTTACTAAAAATGAAGTTAGCATCTCCAGCAGCAAATTGTGCTAGAGCAAGTAGATAGTAATTAGCTGGCATAAAAAGCAGAGATACTAATTTCAGTCTCACAGAAGTTATCTATTTCTATAGGGAGATTTTATTTGCACAAAAATGTCTGGATTTTTAAAAATTTTCTATGACATGCAGCTTAATCAATTATTCGCAGACATAGTCAATGAAAATGTTGGAGGAAATATCCTGACACACTCTGTGCTTGACTTTTAGGAAGTAATGCATTTTTATATGAAAAGCTGTGTGCTTCATTCTGTATAACTATTGTATAAGTTCAAGCCAGGTGCAGACTTCAGCTTTAGAACACTTTTTTCCCTTCTTCTGTGTAAGTCAGTCTTAATTTCATTTCAGGCACATTGTAGTAGGATGTGTGTACGCGTGGGTATACTTGCCTTAGGTTGGTTTGCTTGGATTGCTTTAAAACAAGTTTAAGGCATAAAGATTGAACATTACCAGCAACATTTTCATGTGCCAATAAATTCAGATTTATAAAATGCAGAGTTAAAAAAAAAATTAAAATTGAGACTGCTAACACAAGAGCATATTAGAGATATGATGTCAAAAGCAGTATTTTACCCTGACAGACCCTATCATATCAGAGAAGCCTTCCTACCCATTACAAATAAACAGTCATTTCATCAGCAACTTCCAAATGACATGCTAAAAAACTGCATGTGATTTAATTTGAAAGTTGCCAATGGTCAGTTTGGAGTGTTTTAAAGCTACCTTTTCTGCATGTTTGAGAATTTAATTACATTCCTACTAAAATGCCAGGCATTCAGAGCTATTCATAATTCTTTCAGTGCAGTGAGGAAACAGACAAACAGGAAAGCAAACCAGTGTTATTCAGTGTAACACACCCTGTGTGGCAGAATACCTCTAGCCTACTCCATGCATTTTAAAGAACCAGGAATTTGCATTCAAAAACTTGGTTGCTGTTTAATTCCAGAGTATCTCTTTCATATCAATTGGAATATCAGTCTTTCATGATAGACTTATTCTTTGGACTGTACTTTTCATCATCAGTTTATGTAAATGCCTAGCTCTATGTAGGAAAATACCTTTCAGTTATAAATATGCTCGCTATTTACTTGTGTTCTTAGACAAAAAAGATTAATTTACTATGAATTCTTAATAATTGTGCCCCAGTTTCCCTTTTATTTGAGTAAACTAGTAAACTCCTGCTACTAATTCGAATTTAAAATTTCTGAAGAAATCTATGCCAGGAAGATCCTCTGCATGGAAAAACTGGTGAGAACATGGCCATAGAGTTGCAACAACAGGAGCCTGTGGGAGTACATGTCCCTGTCTGGAAACACCTTCCCTGCCCAGCACGTGCACTGCTGCCAAACTGGGACCACCAGTACCACGCCATGGAAAGCCTGTTTTGAAGCCCTGCTAAGGGCCACGTGACAAGATCCTGAGCATGGTCACGTGTGATTCCAACCTCTGGCAAGGCCTTGCTGAGTGTGATAACCCTGGGGTATTTCTCCCTGAGTCCAGGATCCCCCACATCTTGCAGTGCTGGTACGTGCTCTGCTACTGGCTCGGTGTCTCCATGAGCACACAGGCCATTCAAAAGCATTGGTAAATACCCCTTGATGGGAGGAGCAGAATGAAAACTTTCTGGAGGGAGCTCATGATGGAGCTGGGCACTTTGTGGGAAGACAGAAGTTGGTGCTTGCTATGAAGGCGTGATTTCCTCCTCCTCAGAAACCCTCCCCATTTTTACTGGAGCAATCCCCAGACATGCATTCATGAAGAAAATGTCTTTTTTCATCATTGGAGAGAAGTGTTCTGCCCAAAGACTTTCACAGTCTCTGGAGGTAACCTTTGAGACAGGCAACGGCCACTCTTCCCAGTCAAGTCTACCCCAAGTCACCAGTAACAGATTTCTGACTATAAAGTATAAGTTACGGGATTTACGTAAAGGATGATGTTTGTTTACAGTGATTGGCCCTAATTGTTATTCTCTCACTCTTTTTTTTTTTAGTTCTAAACAGCAAAAAACACACAAGCTCTAAGCGGAAGAGAAAAAGGGGCCACTTAAGAGGGAGGAAAAGCAAGCCTTTTTTCCTTTTTTCTTTTGAGTTGTGCACGTCATCTACTAGAAGCAGGTGTTATAGGCACAACACTGGGTAACTAATCTCACATACCATCAGATATTTGAACAGTTTGAATTTTATTCCCACAAAGAGAGCATAAAGAAAGCCAGGTATGTCTTGCATAACAATTCTGCATCTGAGAAATTTGCTTGAGAACAGACTACTGGAGTCATTTCTTTCAGCTAGCCCACACAGCCCCACTTTGGCAAACAAAGGCACACACCAGTATCACATATCCATTTTCCTTTGGAGATTCCATTTTAATGATTCTGTAGTAAATACTTTGGTATTTAGAAATGATACAGATATGAAAAATACATACCAGATATGAAAAAAAACAGTGTGTCAGTAACTCTTTTACAGAGGTGAAATGCGCATAATGTATTCAAATATGCAACCTCAATTAACCTTTTGCCTCACTTTGTGGACAAACCTATCCATAAAAAGTGAGCTCCCTCCATGATCAAAAGTCAGTTTTACAACTTCACATTGTTTGTGCCTAGTTCCCTATATAAAAGAACGTAACAGGAGGTAATCTTCATGAAGTGCAATTTAAATTTAACTCATTGTTATTCTTGATCTTCATTTCCTTAATACAAAAGCCACTGTAAAACATCATATAAGAAAGCATTGACTTATTATGTGGTAACTAGACTTCCTTTATCTCAGAAAATACTGAAAAATGTAAGATAGCAAACATAAAGATATAAAAATATTTAGACCGAAGCCAGTACTTATTTGGCTTTGGATGTAGGCAAGTAAAGCTTGTAGTTAAGGAAAGAACTTGTAATTAACATACATTCAACTATGTTGGTATACGGCAATATGAAACAACCTGGATCTACAGTCAATAAAGAAACATTAATGTTCCCAAAATTTGGTATGCACATTATTAAAAATTTGGTTTTCTTTAAAATGCTCTTCTAAAAAGCACAACTTTTTTTCACCCTCTACTCTTTCACAGAACCATAATTAGAGTATTGCATTCTCCACTAGATGCTTTGTTAGGGATTACAACTCAGCAAGATAATTACAAACATTCTACATAAAGGCATAGGAAACCAAGATCAGAGGTAGATTTCTCCAGTTCACATTCTTCCTACAGATTACAGTTTTGATATGTGATTTGTTAGAGAAAATCTATTTTTTTCTCTCCTCTGATTACTTTAGAGCTAACACCAGCAAACCAAAGCTCTGTTCAAATAAATCATTTTCTTTCTGTAAAGTTTCAGATTCTGAGTCCCAATTACACCCCCTCCATACAACACTGAGCCCTAAAACTTGCCTAGCTAACTAGCAGTACATGAATTACAGCAACAGGGTATATTCACACATTTAGAGAGAATTAAACCATCTCTTTCAAAAAAGTTTACTTTTTTAATCAATCTTGTACCCAGTTCAAGATCAAGACAAGAGATAAATAAATAGAATAAGATATTATCTTTTTTAAAATCCCCAAACAAATAAAAAACTTACAAAACATACCCCACATCCCCTAAAAAATATCAACACCACCCCAAATGTGTTGAATACCAAGAGGAATTTTTTCCTTGCTTCCTTATGAACAATGATTTAAGTAGGCACACTATGCTACAGATATTCCAGATATATTTGCCAATTTACTTGTTAGCAGGAATTAATTTTTATCACTTGTTTTCATCTATTTGTTCCTTGGATGGATTTGGACCTACCGTTTTATGCATTGATCCCTGGGAGTTGCTGTTTTTCGAAGGGACATCTTTTGAAGTAAAGTAGTTGGATGGAGAAAGGCAATTCAGAACTGCCCCTGTGGCTTCAACCTGCCGTGGATAGTTTTCTTCCTTGGAATCTTTTGATAAAAGCCAGAACACAACCTGATTTATTAATGTAGCAAAGTCATTACAATTCAGAGCTAAAAATGTTATTGGACTTCCCTCCAGCTAGTGCTGTTTAAGCAAGCCTTTAAAAAGCAATTTAATTCCATTCCACAAAGTCAAATTTCCTCCACAGATAATTGGTTTTCATTGTATGTATAAAATGCTGCAATGAAGTCAATAAGTCAAACTATATATTTTCTTAGAGTTATATTTATTACAGAAAGACTGACCTGCTTCTGACAGAATTGTATTGTTTCTATTTTTCTACTGTTAACCTGGAATCTTTCTGTTAATAACACAAGCACACTCTATAGTAGCATTCAGCAATGTACTATGAAATCCGAATATAATTAAGAATTCTTCTGGTCTCTCTTATTTATAGCCAAATAACTTTATGCTGTCAGCTGTCATAGATTAAATCTTCATACATAAACTTATTCAATGAAAGCTAAAGCATTCACACCATTTTGAGAGCTTAAAACAGTCAGAAAATACTTGCCTGGCTTGGGTCATTATCAGTATATTTGAAAACTGCCATACTAAAAGAAATATTAAAGCCTGGTTTTGTGTATGTATATATAAATAATATAAAATAATATGTATTACTTATGGGCATGTTCATATTCTAAGAGTCTGGGAACAACATCTTGAAACGTCAGACTTGGAAAGCTTGCACACTAATAACAGCCCAACAGCAAAACAAAGAAATCCAAAAACTACCAAAGTTGGAGATGCAAAAATAGGCATGAAATATTTATATAACTAAAAAACTTCACAAAAGCTCCACACTCATTTAAATCCTGTTTATAGCAGATACTTATGACTAAAAGCAATCTTCCATCTCAAGCAGCCAAATACAACAAAAATACTTACCAGATATCTTGCCTTGCTTGGAATTAACGTATTTCTCCTTATTTTTCTTTCTTTTTCTTAACAGGACAAGGAGATTCATATTTAAAAGCTGTATTAGTTACTGTCCTCCTGCTCCCGCAGCTCTTCAGTTGTAGGAACGGAGGAGCTTGGCTGGTATTGTTTTGAGATAAAGAGAATGGCCCGTGTGAGCCAAGATATTCTGTACTGCCTGATGATCTCTGCAGTGTTCTTAAACTCCTCCACCAAGACAGGTATTTTTTTTTTTCTGTCTGTTGTCCAAACAGGTTCATCAGAGCTCTTACAGCTACCTTCATTTTTCAGTTGTGGAGGCCCTACATGCTGAGAGGAGAAAGGTTTCTTTCTCTCAGTATTTATTTGCTTTTGGATTGGAGGAAGAGGCTGAGAGATTTTCAATTTGAGATCAAAGACAAGCACATGCAATGGGACGAAACATAGTTTTCTCAATTGTGCTCAGAATAGTAGTCCCTGAGTTCCCACACTCGGTGCTCTCAACTCTGTAAGCTTTGCAGGGTAAAAAAGATGGATAGTTATATATACACACACACACACACACACAGACGCACATAGACACACACACACACACACACACACATATTTAAAATATATTACTTTTCCCCCTTGCAGCACTGCAGTCTCTCTATTGTCAAATAATAACTGTATCTGAAAAGAAAGCACTTAATAAGGCTAAGGTCAGACTGCTTAGACTTGGCATTTGCTGCGATAACAAATCAGAGATGATAGCATCGTACAGATTTATGAATTTTTTGCCCCCGCAGTCACAAACATCAGACGTTTACTTTATAAAGAAAGCTTTTAGATTCTTCCTGCAGTTTCCATAGTGATTTCATTTTTTCTCTTTTATCACAGATTGGCTGAAGTACTGCTACCCTTTGTGCTTTAAAAGGCTTGTGCTACCAACTGTCGATATAAAGGCACTGTAGCTAAAGCACACATGCAACACAAACTGTCAAAAATAATTGAAACAGATAAATACTGGCTGAAAAAGGTTTTGGTATTTTCTCTGCCTGTCCTGAAGAGTACAGTAGAATAGTATTTCATTTGAATAAATGTAATTAACTTGAGCCAACCACACTTCTGTTCCATTTCCCATAACCAATGATACTTCTATTAGAGCACTTGTACACAAAAAAATTACTTTCTTCACAAAAAGTTTTAATACAGCCAACATCAAGCAAAATGTCTATGTTTGTTAGATATAAATGAAAACACAGTCATTAATTTCGGAGTCTTCTAAAGACACTGCTTTTGCCAATTATGTTCTTCCTCTAAGAAGTTTATTCTTTTAAAGAACAGGATGATTTAAGGAAGAATTATACTGTTTCTGGCAAAGCAAACAATACCCTCTCTTGCTGGAGAGATAACCACCTTTCAAAGTAAGCCTAAAGGATTAATTTCTGTTTAACCCCTCGCAAACAAATGAGACCACCATCTTCTCCACAAAACAGAACTCAGCTAAGTAAACACATCTATTCAGTTATCATTCCTTTTTAAATGCAGTCTTTAGATTGCAGAATGCAAGCACAGTATTTCCCTACCCCTCTTTTAATCAGCTTAGTAGATACTGGGTGTGTGGTTAACCCCAGCCATTTCTTTCACTCTCATGAGTTTCCAGACTTCTGAGTCAGAAATGGTCTAACTTATTCAAAATACTGAATTATTATCATGTAAAGATAAATATACTACAAAAAATTTTTGATTTGGAGGTGACTATAAAGGTAATGAGTTTCCTTACTTTCATACAATAATGGAAAATTTAGTGCAAAATTCACATGGACAAATATCTTAAAACCCAACAGAAAACAGTAGAGTTTACAAGATATTTTAATTTAGAGAAAAAAAAAGAGAGGGTAAAACCAGACATTTTGGATGCATTTATGACAATTAATTCTTTATTTCCAAACAGATTATCTACAGAAAACTACCAAGCTCCCTATTTTATTGCCATCTATTTATACAGTGAATTATACAACTGACTTTTGCTTTTGGAATATTAAAATCGACAGGGATCCACAGCCACTAAATAGGCAGTAACTGTGAGCATAAAGTATGTTAGTACTTACAATAAAATTTATTGGAAAAAAGAATTTGCAGCAAGGTGTAAGTGAAGAGCTAAATGTAAACAAAAAGCTGAGAGTTACTAAGACTGTGCTGATTACTGAAATATTCCACAAGTGGTCCTGTTCAAAACTGGTATACAGAGAGATGCAGTAGGTTTTGGAAAGATGCAGAGACAGCTGTTGCTGCCCTGGGGCACGAGGATGTGCTGGATGAGCTCCCCAAAGTCCTGTTACCCCGGGGCAAGCAGTCACTAAACTGCCCCTTGTAGCAAACCTGACAGAATCTGAACCTACACTTCCTATCTACTTTCCCCCAGAACCCTCTCAGGGGCCATTTAATGAGTGTATTAAGCACTGTGTTCAAGTAATCAACATTATCTGACTCCAAAAGACAAGTACTGTCCTTGTGCAGATCTTTCCTGCATTGGAAAAAAAAATAACCCATGCTAAACATTAGTGAGTAGAACCCTGACTTTCCAATAAGATTATGACTTTTCACACCCCCTGTTTTAAACACTATAGTTATTTTAAAATCCTGTATGCACATATACCTCAGCACAAACCTTGAATCACTGAGGAGAATTTCTGTGCAACAAGGGGGAAATGCAGATCCTTAAAAATAACTCATCAATAAAAAGAAATAGGAAAAGCCTTCTCTCTGAAGGGATAAGGATAAGAAATTTGTCTTTTGCAAAACAAAAATCTTTCAAGATGGTTTCATCCTACCTCAAAACACTAAATCATGGTCTCATAGTATTTTATTTCCAAACTTTACATATATAAGGTGTTCAAATGGCTTCTGCAAGATTCACAAGGCAACTGACTTTCTGGGGATTATATGACACTGTTGAAGTTATCCCCAGTCTTTCCCCCAAGTTACCCTCAGGAATTTACTTTTTTAGAAGGAAAACACAAACTAAGTTGTTTTCTTTTTTAACTGTTGGAGACAAAAGAGGGCATTTGAAATGAAGAGCTGACTAACAGTCTACATTAAAAAAAAAAATTTCATGCTTCTTTGCACACAGCTCTGCATATTCTCCTTGGAGAAAACTCTTAAATACAGCAGGAATGTGCTAACTAAAGTAAGCAAATATTTGTTGCTATACACTTTTAGTTAAATCTCTTCTAATATATGTGATTCTTCAGTCATACAGCTGACAGGCATCCAGGACATTCACTTATTCTCTTCATCAAATAAGGGAAACAGGTCAAGCTCAGAGTGTGACAATCCTTCCTCCTGTCACACTCGGCAGGTAGACCTCACACAGACGCTGTTTGTCTTTTAGCTTAGGCGGCAGAGGCCAACACTTTTAGATCTCACATTTATTCATAAAACTCATAGTTTAAAAAAAATCTACAGAGAATTTTCCTTCCTCAAAAGTTCTTCAGTAATGAGACCCTTTTTTTCATCGTCCAGATTAGAGCGGGAAGGGGCAGGGCAATGGAGTCCATAGCTAAAGAAACAGGCTATATAACTACTGGTTTATTAGTCTGAAAACTACCCTCAAAAGAAATTGAAAATACTTTTTCTGGACATATAGGGAGGGATCATGTTCTTTAAAACATCCTTTGTTTCACTCATATAGAGCTCTCTTAATTTTTCCTTCCAGAGAAAGTAGCAATTTGCTACTTTCTCTGATTTTCCAAAACCATGTTCCACACAAAATGTGCTTAATCAAACACTGAAAATCTGCAACTTACTGTGAGACATGAACTACAAAATATTTTAAAGTTTGCAGTCCTAGTTCAATCAAAAACTCTGCAATCCTTAATCACAAAATATCTCAAGTTGGAATAGAACCATAAGGATCCTCAGAGGATCTCACTGCTCCTCAGGGGACTACCTATAACTAAATCATATGGCTAAAAGCTTCATCCAAATGTTCCTTGAACTCTGTCAGGCTTGGTGCTATGACAACTTCCCAGTGAACTCCATTCCAGTGATCAAACACCCTCTGGGTGAGGAACCTTTTCCTAGTGCTAACTTCTCCGGGTGCATTTTCATTCCATTTGCTCTTGTCCAAATGAACTCTCGATTTATTTACCCACCAGCATGAGCCAGTAGCATATTTTCCATCTGTCAGAACCAATGCCAGTAGCATGAGGAATTCCTTGTCTAAGGTATCCATCATTTTCTGAGGAAGACAACCAAAAGTCTCCACTGAGATCTTTAAATACATATTTAGAAATAAAAACAAGGCAGACTTTTAGACTGTCTTTAGGATCACAAAGATATTTCTCTTGTTCAATAAGTGGAATCTAAGAAACCACTTGCTTCCTAACGAAAAAAGAAATAGCAAAGTACAGAGGGTGAAGCACAAAGTCAGGCAGAGCCAGTTTAAAGTTCCTAAAGTTAAACACTTCATTTGGGTCAGTGTTAGAGAATACAGAAGTGCTTTGCAGCTTTGTTTTCAGTGAATTGATAAATATGCAGATATAAAATAGTTTGCTGGAAATCCTCCTTAATAAATGCAAGCATCAGATGCATCCAGAAGAGTGTCAGCTATAAATCAAGGACATAACTAACTGCTTATGACAGTTTAGCAGAAAATTTGCACACAGATTTTCCCTTTTAAATAGATGAAGAGACAGAGCTGTGCTACACAGAAAATCTCTGAATGTACCTCATTCTTCATCATAAAAAAACATTGCAAATTTTTGCTACAGCACAACTACTCTGAATGCCATTACTGTTGTACCTAAAACTGCTCCAGTGTACAAGGGCACCTTCTTATCATTGGAAGTCAACAACTAACCACCAAGAGATAAATCAGTTTCAAGCCATGTCTACTTGAACATTTTTGTGAGCTTATGCATGACCACTTCTGTACATCATCTGGCACAGCTGTGAATGCAACTATCTAAAGTTACTTCAATGTATGCATCGAAAACACAACAACCATGATGAATTTCGGCACACCAGCAAGTACGCATTAAACTGTTGTCTGAAAGATTGAAATGAAGGGAACTATGGTGGATTTCATTTTATTGTTTCCTGTACACTGTTGTGTATTTACACTGGCAAGATCAAAAATGTTCCTAACTATGAAAAAAGACATTGAAACAAGATTTCAAATATGATTCTTAGCTTCTGGGAGAATCTCAGAGCCTTGATGTGAACCCTAAGGTTGAGATGATTTTTAACACTACCAAAGAAGCTTACATTGTAGAAAAAGAATGACATTTGCAACCACATTTTCATCCTGGAGCTTTAGACAACTTAGATTAAAAGAATTCATGGGAGGAACTTTCTCAAAATCTCTCATTAAAGTAAGGCTAATTTAATTAGATACCACAGTAGGAAAAAGTGGCCTCAAGAAAAAGGAAAATCACATTCAAAACACACAGAGAACTAACTTTACAATAGATAAAGTTTCTCTAGAATGCTCCTCTTACTGTTCTCTAAATTTTGCAGAATACATAT